AGTGCACATAATCCCTTCAAAAACAAGTTTTAAATCTGCATTTGAAACTGTTTTTGTTTAAATGCATCAAATGTAGAAGAGTTTCACAAAAAAAAACTAGTGTTTCACAGTCATCTGTGGATTTTTGGGTAATATTCTTCACAAAACTTCTAAGATTACAGCTTAGCTGAGCAATAAGATTTTTGACAGTCCGGTTAGGGCTCCGAACCGTATACATTTTAGAATGATATCAGTTTGGGCACTTTCAAATTCTACTTCAGAATGTCAGAGCTTAAGCACGCAATTGTGTTTTTTTCTAAACTGTATGTCCAGAGAAATCAATCTTTCCGTATCTAAAACATTCAGTTTTTTAAATTATTTCTTGCACCACTGCTAGATATATAGTGCAATGTGGCAAACACTTTCAAAATAAAATCCACGTGTATCGTGTGTGTACACATATGCTGCACTCTACATGTTGCCATTTGCTAATATATCRATGTTTATGGTTGTCAACAAAATGCAGCCAGCCATTGTCAGAAGACCGGTTTAGACCAGAAAACGCAGACAGTTGTATCAATGGAAGGACAATTTGACCTCAGATTTAGCYGCATGACAGAGTTTAAAAACACATCATCAGATGTAATTTTCCATGACATCTAACACATCACATCCGCAGCACAAAAACATTTTTGCTTTATTAAAGTGAAGTGTTAAGTGTATGCAGAGTTTGTTGTATTATAAGTCTGTATTGTTAATAAATGTGGAAAAGAAATGTGAATTTATTTTAAAACTCTTTTACATGTATTATATCACACTACCACATTGATTCATGTTATTTGTACTCTTCTTTTCAGTGTTAATACTGAGCCTTCAGATGCCTGTTTTGGCCCTGATGACAGATATTGTAACAGCTGTGAACACCAGTCATTTCAACTTGTCGGAGCTCACAGGGCGAATGCAGCTTGCCATTGAAAGTACACTTCAATCAKCTCAGCAGGTTTGTCCTGTTCTATCACCAGTGGAATTTGCACGTTTGTGTTGTGTGACTGTCATTCGGTGGTACAAAGTCAATCATATTTCTGTACATTTGTGCTCACGTTTGGTAAAAATGTTTAAGATAGGGAACAAAGCTGCTGCGTCGGTGCAACCGTTTGCATTGTTGCATTTAATTATCGTCATCTTTCTCATCACAGATTTTATAATGCCTCATTCCTTAGTCATCCTAAACATTTAAACAGAATTGTTTTTTTTTGTTGTATCCGACTGTTTCTTATGCCTACAGAGGCATTTGCACATTTATTTACCCTTTCAACAAGCTTTGAGACAGAGTAGACAAATCACATGGGAGTACACTGAACAACCCTTTGTTATACATTATCAGGAACATCACTAGGAGTTGTCTGTAGGCTTCTTTGAATGCGTTACAAGTTTCATGCATCATTTGTTGGCCAAAATGTAGCACAGCATGTGTTGAAATGTTCTTCTGCTTTCACTGATGGTCATGTAAATTAGAAAATGGATCATATTTTAAAGAAAAATRACATTTAACAAACTACAACCATTAAGCATAGTTTTGGTTTAGGCTAAAACTGATTTGCAATTATTGCAATGAAAAACAAAAGTCAGATTTACTTTCAATCACTAAATACGAGCAGGTAATTGTGTCAGGCAGCATTGAGTGTTCCAGTAAAAAAAAAAAAAAAAGCCAACCTGTCTCTGCTTTAAGACCTAACTGACCTTCTGGGAATTACCTAATGAGCATAAACAAAACAGATCCTGTAAACATGATGCCATGTTCCTCTGTTCTGGTTCATCTGGTGTACAAACACTTAAATGGCCTTATATTATTTTCTAGACTATTAACCAACAATTTGCCTTTATTAGTTATGCTCATTTGGTTTGTCTTCATTAGATATTTAATACTTAACTTAGAGTTACCATAATGCTTGGTTTCTTTTCCCACAGACATGCTTTTTATTTATCTGATCAAATAGCCAGACTAGCTGTTATCTCTTCCATAAAACCACTGAGCTGTGCAGAAAATATATACTTGAGAACACTTTGAAGACCTTGTCAGTACCTTCAGATTTCTGCTCAGGCAAAAACTGCATGATAACAAAGTTGAACAGTGGATATGTGGGTGTGTAGCAGTAATAATACTTGTGTGAAAAAAAAATACAGCACAACCTTTTTACTTAACTGTCGGTAAATTTTAATAGTATCAGAATTAAGATGTGTGCCTTATCCACCTGCCTTTTGTGCCTCCAACACTCTCTTCTATTTTCTTTTTTATTGGTGAGAGTAGTCAAACAGGTTCAAACTGGATGAAATATGATAATATATTTTTTCTTCCCCCCCCCCCCCTTTTTTTTTTTGCCTTTAGGCAAACGGTACATTGAACTGCAGCGACGTGCTCAAAGCATGGGAGCCTGTTGGACAGGCAGCAGGTTTAAACGCTGCCACACTGGCTATGTGGTGCCACATCAGCCTGCAGCCTGTACTGGAGGCTTGTGCTACAGCTGAGACCGACTACTCCAACCTGAACATGAGTGTGAGTCAGATCAAATGTGAAACAGTAAACCAACACGTCCATGTAATTTTGTTACTGCAAAATGTGTTCCAAATTGAGCAATCATACCACTTGGTGGCAGTGTTGACACATAAAAAAAGCAGGTTTTGGCTAACTGTTCTACTCTGGTGCATGCTTTTTTGTTTGTTTCTTTGCACAGGACATGGCCAAGGAACCAATAAGTGTGAGAGCCGCAGCTGGCAGGATTGTGGAAACAATACAGTTACTCTATGAAGTCAACATTAACAACACACTTGTGATAGAGCAGTACATCGTGACTTTCTCCAACCAGCTCAATGTGCTGACTGGCCAGCCTTTGAGCCTTGAGGCACAGTCTTACTGGTACAAGCAGCTCCTGGACATGCAGCTGCAAAACAGGTCAGCTACAATTGAACTATACATGCTAACACAATGTGGGTTTTTTAATTTATTTTTTTACTTTTGTCAGAATTTAAAGGGGAACTATTATGTAGAATTCACTTTTTAAAGTTTTTTTTTACTCAACTTTGGGTATGTACTTCTTAAAAAAAACAGTCCTAGGACCAAAAAAAATGCACCCAGGGGCATATTTACTGTAAGTAAATGTATTTTTAATGTAACGACAAGTTTTATACTTCCGTTATTTTGTGATGTCACAAGCTGTACGACAATCCACCGGAACCTGTGTTCAGCCCCTTAATTAGCAACCCCCAGGTGAAACTCCACCTTCTCAATATAAAAAAACAGTCACCCTGTTGTTGTGCAATGCGCAGCTCATTTCACAACAAGCCACCAATAGGGTAATGGGTAGAGTGTTGGACCAGAGAGCKGTAGACCAGGGTTCAAGACCAGCATGGATATAGTTTAATTATTTATTTATTTTCGTTCATTAMRAACACATTTTCTCATKTACCTCTATTGTTTAGCTTATTAAAGCCTTGTTAAAGCCTATTTGTTCGAGTTTCTGAGGTATTTTGACTGCTGCTGCTGCTCCCTGCTCTGGTAACAGCATGCAGAGTGAGCAGAGCAGAGGAGTGAGGAAAAAAAAGAAGAAGCTGGGACCACACTATGCCTCTGGGTCTCTCATATGGTTGTACAATGGAGCTTCTGCTATTATTAGCCATGCTAACATAAACACTGGCTTTGGAGGGCGGAGTTAATGTCAACAGATTTTTGGAGGGCGTTACCAACAGAACTCATTAACATAAACAGCTCTTCTGAATGGAAGTCAGAGCAGGCAGAACTAGAAAATGGGAAATTTTATTATCTGAGAATTTTGTGCATTAAATTGAATGAACATGGTCTGGATAACCCACAGACATACCATAAAAATTTCTAGGACCCATAATTGGTCTCCTTTAAATCACTGACAAATAAGTTTGTTTTGAATCTGATTTGATTTGATTTTGATTTAATTATTTAATATGAAAAGATTATTAAAAATCAAGCCTGACTCAGCATAATCGCTGTTTTACAGCAGGTTCCTATTCTGCAGCACATAAAACACACAGAATTACAGCATCACAATCACATCATTATACACCATAGACACAAAGACAAACAAGCATACCAAATTTCAAAAAGGCATCATTTGCAAAATAGGACGTCTAAATATGATCACAACAAAAAGTGTCCAGCAGATGGCAGACAAGATTCTTCTTAAAGGGCTGTAGTTTTGAAATGGACTTTATGTTTTGAGGAATGTCATTCCATGCTTTAGTATAAACATAGAAGAAAGACCTCTGGCCGTAACAGTTTTTAAAAGTTGGTAATATCAGTTGTCCTTTTGTAACAGATCTAGTTGAATGACCACTTCCAGAATTTGATTTGGGCAACAATGCACAGAGAGTTCCATAATTGGCACCTTGGAAGATCTGAAAATWTAAATTAATACCACTATACAAAACATAATTCTGAAAAGTCAAGGCATCAGACAATGAAAGAACTGTACAGTGATGAGTCCAACCAGGAAGTTTTTTATGAATTTTGTAGGCCCTGTTGTAGAGCCTAACTGTGGGTTCTAAGATTTCATTTGTTGTAAGAGACCAAACACGTAAACAGTACAACATGGTTGAGAGTATAATGGCATGAAGATARATATTTGAAACAGAAGATGTCAGATTGGATCTAAATTTTGAATAAATGTATAATTTCTGTTTCAACTTAGTGGTTAAGACATGATCACGATAAGTCAAATGAGAATCCAAAGTAATTCCAAGATATTTGTAGGTAGTGACAATATCAAGGGGTTTGTTTAAAAAAGTGAGTTGATTTGTTATATTGAAATGTCTCCTGGGTGAGGAAAAATACATGCACACAGTTTTTTTTAACATTAATTGACAAAAGATTATTTTGAAGCCAACCATGAAATGTCTGAAGATCTGCTTGTAACTGACTATTAATAGATTCAATGTTGAAATCGGACAAAAAAAGAACAGTATCATCAGCATATATTAAAATATTTGAATACTTCAATATTTTTGGAAGGYCATTTATGTATAATAGGAAAAGTGCCACCACTGCCATCTTGTTTTGTGTTGTTGCACAGGTGTTAGATATTTCTGTCATGAAATATTTCGGGAACAAATACATAAACAAACACACAAGCATGCACCCATACACAATCAGGATTACATTTGGTTGTGGAAATGCTTCGTACGTTTCCATTAACTTTTCATTATGTTTCTACATAGACCTGAAGACAAAGCTTCTCCTCCGGCAGACATGAACTCACTGTGACCTTACTCACTCAAGTTGCTGTTATCACATTATCCGCAATGCACCAGTCAAACCCATTGGATACATACATAATGACACGAGCAATTGAAGTGATCACATTTGCATTCAGACTGATTAATGTAATGCAGGTCTGCCTGAACATAGGCAGGCCCCAACAGAATGTAGCTAAATATGATTCAGCTAACTGAGACGTCCTTTTAAAATTGATTTCCCATTTTATACCAACTGCARTAATGAGCCGGGCATAGCGTTAAGAATCATGTTCTGCATGTCCCCAGAATCAAACAGGTCTTACTCTATAAGTTATACATTAGTGATTTCAGTGGAATGACCTACATCTGTTGGAATTGACATGTAGAGGGAGGACATGTTGTTTATTTCCAATTGTGAAAAACAGTAATGTTATACTGCACTGGGAAAATTGTCACGTGTCAAAATKCATAAAAGTAGTTACAAATTCTTTATACACTTAGCAGTGTTTCATGTCATTTGTAAATTATTTGGATATTTTTACACAACTTAATCAGAAGAGATAATCCTGTAAATTTCTCTTTTCCACAGTTTGTCTCTGATTAAACAGAACTCAGATGAGTTGGTGAGAGAGGCTCCTTTCTTGCAACCCTACATTGATGCTTTAAGTAACGCACTGAGCCACATCCTGGAAAACTACCACCTCACTGAAAACAACAACGCGTCCCATGTTTTCGAGGAAGCAGCCCTGATCTTCCTAAGCTCTGCAAACATCACCTTAGATGACATCTCCGTGATGTGGGGAAACACTTCTGCTATCAACGAGACCGTTCTTGCTGACTTAATAAATTATGCTATCAAATTGATGATCAAGACAGAGGCTTTTGGAGATTCGGCCATCATTTACCAAACCATGGAACAACTCCTGGCGTCCAATGGCACAAACTTGATCGTGGAAAGTTTCTTTGAGGTGTTTATTTGGCTGACCTCGACTGAAGCAACTGCACCAGATCTGCTGAGCCAGGCCCCTCTCCAACTCTATAACCTCATCAGGCCTATTTTATATGTCTTCACTAGATTGATTGTGTCTGACCCAGAGGATGTGGTTCTGTATGAAGACTTTGCTGTTAATATTCTTTCAGAGCTTAGTCAGTTTGTGAGCACCATCAGACTTCTCCCTCTTGGGCACCAAGAAGAAGTCATGTTTCAATCTGAAGAGGCGACTGTTACAACACCGACAAGAGTCAGGCGAAAACGTGATCTCTCGATGATGACGACGGCGACAAGGCAGCCCCAGCTCCTAGAAGACATCTTTAATATGCTTTCCATTGACTACTCAACCTTATATGGAGCCGCTTTGGTTCCTCCAACCTCAGCAGATGTAATGGAGACGGCTCACACTTTCTTTGGCAATCCTAATCTGAATACTGTGATGAAGGGGGCTACAAGTGACATGCAGTGGAGCTATAACGCTTCACAGGAGGATACCATCGATGCTGCCCTCGGCGTGGCCTCTTTCCTCACCCACTCACAGGTGTTGGAAAAGTAAGTGTTGCTTCCTCACATGTAGGTTTCAAGATCAAAAAACATGTTCATGTTTCATTTTGAGTTCTTAATGATTGAGAGAAACATTTTTTTTTGATTTATACATGTTGGCCTTTCATAAACTTACCTGTTCCACTCTGTTTTCCTCAGACCACTAATGGACGTTCTGATGAATGCGACTAACATGCTCCCTGATGGCATTCCTTACGCCTCTGAGATTAAAAATATTGCCGGAGCGCTGGCAAATGAATCTCAAGGTAATTTGAATTGTGCTCTTTGTGTTATATTTTTCCTCTGTTTTTCAATGGGTGGTATATTCTTGTGCATTTAAAATATGCATTGAGTCTATAGAATAGCAAGTTTAGCTACAATCATTTGTTGTCTGGAATTTTCTCTGCAATAACAAGCCACATTTTTTTATTTATTGCCTTTTTGGTAATTCATTTATCACAACTCAAATAATGGATAACTTGCTTACATATAAATTGTCATACAATTTACTTAATAGTCAGTCTCTCCAGCAGCACAGTTTATCTTCTGCTTTGTAAAGAACAATTAAATTGGCTTCCGAAATTTACATAAAAAAACTTAGTTTATGAAAAAACAAGTGGTTGTTGTTGAAGTCAAATATTCAACACAAGAGCAGTCTGCGTTAGTTTTCTGATAGAAAATTTAACAAGGAGTTTGATAAGTGCTGAAATGAATAATTATTTTCCAAGCTAATTGCACTCTGCTGTGCTTACACATGATGCACTGAGCATTAGGACAGTCTCAAGGGTTTTGGAAAGTCTACATTAAATTTTACAAGCTTGTAAAGTTAGACAAAGCACCTCACTGCAAAGACCACATACATCTGGCTAAAGGTTAACTTATTCTGTTTGTTGTAAAGATCAATATCTCGTAATATTTTGTGAGGGCTCTCCGTTTATTGCTTGGGTTGCAAAGGCTTAGTTATGTTTTTTATTAATTTTGAATATGTTCAAAAACTAGCATGGCAAAGTTTTTCTCCAAAAACACACGGCGTTGTCACAGAATTCTGAAGCCCACCTCAGATTTACATTTGTGATTTAGAAGCTTCTCAGTTACTCCCCTCCTGGTGTTGGTGTGCTGCAGAGTTCATCCTGATGCTGCAGCTTGTGTTTAGATACTCTGTGTGGCAGTATGAATGCATAAGTACCGTTTGCCATTAAACAGTCATGCAGCTTGGAATGATGCCACCCTGTAATTTATCGCTAATGCAAAACCAAAAGAAGACCATAAACCATTTTGTTATTGCTGTTGTAACTGTAAAGATGATTATAGTGCTTCAAATATTCATTTTGGAGATATGAGGAATTGGACTTCACACCAGCTTAGCTTGAGTTCCCCAAGAGCCCAAAGCCATATGGCCCATCTCCAGCAGAAAGCCACTCAGCACCTTTTTAAATCTCATTAGCAAAGTAGAATTTAATCACTTATCCTGTCCGCCCTCACTAAAAGTCTCCCCTTGCACTCACACAAGTGGGCATCTATGACCTCCTTTTAATTTGCCTYTGTGCTTGCGTGATAATGTTTTTAGTGCACAGCATCACTTTGTAAGCAGCTTCACTTCTCTGCAACCCCGCTCACGTTCTGTCTCACGCAAACGAACACACTGCAAACTGTTGTGATTGCAAAGGCCTCTAGGTGTTGAGCAGCCTGAGATTAAACGTTGCCATTGTCTAATTTTGGACTAATTAAACATTCTGTCAGCTCATCTCGCCGCCGGAGGGGGTGCCTTTCTTAGGGCTTGTCAAATGTGTTTTAATGCATGACAGCGTCTAGTACAGCTGGCCCTCCTGGCCCCATCAGTCCCGCACAGAGCTTCACTTTATGCACATCATTTGCTGCTCACTGCTTGATGCCGATAACCTGTAATGGCGCATGTCGTAATGAAGCCCAGTGGGATGCCATGTTATTCTGTCACCTTACAGACCTAACACTGTAAGGTTCTAGGCTCTAATAGCATCTCTCTTAGCTAATTTTTTTTCAACTCTCTGCCTGTCTGTTTCTTCGACCTGYCACAGAGAACCTGATGATTATGCAGCAAACCATCCAAACAGCTGCYGGGCTCCTGAGCAACCTCTCAAACACAGAACAACTGCAGCAACTCAGAAACAAGGTTTGTGCAATAAGTGCGACACTTTCATTTTCAGTGTTTGCATCATTTGAAAGAGACGTTCCTCAGTGCAACTGTTTAAAGTGTTGCTACGTGCATTACATAATGGGTCACAATCTTAGCAAGTCATTGTGACATGTTTGATCACCATAAATCAAGCATGGGTTTATTGTTTTTCTTATATCTAAATGTAAACTTAAATAAATTTGATTTGTGTGTTTTAGGTGTGTATATTGGAGAGTATGGACTCTGTGCGTCTGATGATGGAAACCGTTTCCATTGCACCTGGGGATCTCTGTCATACTTTTATACCAAGCCTACAGATCTTGGCTGAAAATCTTCAGACAAATAAAAGCCTCCTGCCAGAAATCACCCTTCAGGCTGTCATGGGAGATCCAAGGAGCTACAACATCCAGACAAACTGGTACTCATTTTTAAATCAACTCACATGACTTAGAAAATTGCAGTTTATGCAAAGATGGTCTCTCTCATAACCATTTTTATTAGTTGTATTTGCTTAATGTAATTATCCATTAGTAGATTTGTTTTACGCATATGATTTGATGATTTTAAAAAGTACAAACCATTTTACTGTAATTTAGATTCATTTTAGGTCTTGGTTGTGAACTTCTTATTACTGAAATGAAAAAAAAAAACACGATTTGTATTTTTTAATAAGTTTTGATTTCCTGTTTGTAATTTCAGGAGTGATGTCTTCATGAACGCTTTTGGCTTGGATATGAGCAATGTGACGTTGGCAAACATCACTTCTCCAGGTGAGTTTATCTGTCTTTACATACAGTATTTAAAATAGGCGTGTAGATTCTCATTCATTAAGGAGATTCAAATGCATTTAAAAAAGAATATATATACAATATATATAAACAAAACAACTGACCTTCTGTTCTATAGTTGGAAATGTTTTGATGTCCATCAAAAGGTTTTCAGTATGTTTTTTTTATTTATTTATTTTCCAGGAGTTGTGACATTCGGGGATATGCTGAGGGACAAAGCTGCCTTTATTCTGGTCGCTCAACAACACCTGGGTATTGATCCAGCTGCCCTTCTGCTCCTGATGGAAACACCTTTCCCAAACAGCAATGTTGAGGTGAGCCGGGATCTGTGTGCGCTCGTGTTTACACTTTCCACATGTGACCTTTTTCTTCTGTTTCTTAGGATCTTTTCTACACGGTGTGTTTTAAGGGCAACTTTCTACTACATGTTGTTGTAACAATACTATCTAGAGAAAAGCTAGCCCAAACTAAGAAAAAAACTAAACTCAAAAAAAAGTATCAAATGTGGACCATTTTTTTGAGTTGCCTGAAACAGAACATACAAAATAATATAACAATATTTGACAAATGTTTAAGTTTATTTAATATGACTATTAGGGCCACAGAACAAGATTTTTTAAATTATTATTATTATGAGATTAAAGTCATAATTTTATGTGAATAAAGTCATAATATTATGAGATTAAAGTCATAATATTACAAGATTAAAGTCATAATTTTACGAAATTAAAATCATAATCATGATGTGTCTATTTCCCGTTCCTCATGTCCTCCTTGTTTTCCTCACACCTTCTATGTACAGCCATGTCTCTGTGTTTATAAACTAATCTGCGATGACTTGGGTCACTGTTAGATTAATATGCTTTCATCCAAATTAGCTAATTGACAACTAAATCTATCAATGCATCCATTAATTACAATGCAGCTTCAGTTTATAGTAGTTTGCACCATTTCCAAGTCCTGCTACTGATAATTTGATGCTAATGTGCTAAAAGATTAACTATTTATTAGCAATACTAAAGAACAACTTGACAAGTTGCTCAATATTCCCCATTTTAATGCAGTGGTAACTGCATGCTTTTTCATGTAAAGGCTACAATATTATGACTTTTTTTTCTCGTAATATTATGTCTTTAATCTCGTAATATTACGATGTTAAACTCGTGACTTTAATCTCGTAATATTACGATGTTAAACTCGTAATATTATGATTTTAATCTCGCAATATTATGACGTTAAACTCGTAATATTATGACTTTAATCTCGCAATATTACAACTTTAAACTCGTATTATGACTTTAATCTCGTAATATTACAAAGTTAAACTTGTAATATTATGACTTTAATCTCGTAATATTATGTCGTTAAACTCTTGATATTATAACTTTAATCTTGCAATATTATGACTTCAAACTCTTAATGTTATGACTTTAATCTTGCAATATTACGACTTTAAACTCGTAATATTATGACTTTTATCTCGTAATTAAAAAAGAATTWAAAAAATCTTGTGTGGCCCTAATACTCCGTCGTAATTTAAGGCTGTGCATTAACTAATTAAGTATTCAAAATTATCATATTATTATTATAATAATTTAATAAGACCTCACTTTCTTATAACTTGTCACCACCAAAGCAAAGATGAAGTAATTGACGGAAATTGTTGCATTTATTTACACCAGTTTTGTGTATATCATACGTTATAACTATTGTCTGCTTATTTCATGATGCGTTTTGCAACAGATGCTGTCTTGGTTTACAAATCTGCAACACTGCAACGCTACGCCAGCCACAGTCACGCAACAGTTCTTCTGCTCATTGTCTGCTGAGGAAATGTTCAAGTTCTTGCTGCTGATGGCTAAACATTTAAACACGGAGAAGCTCGTCTACAGAGTAAGACTTTATGTTTTTTGTCGTTTTCCTTCCTCTGATCTTCCATAACAGCACAAAATGTGTGAATCCTGTAATTGCAATTGTAACTCGATAGCAATGGCTCAACGCGCGTTGTTTGAGAGAGACGTGAGTTTAAACAAAAGTCTTTTCCACAAGAGAATCTTTGTTCAACAGACAAAGATTTCTGTTCTTCACTTGAATTGCCTTTTTTTATCAATGTTTGGTCTGACAAAAAAACAACATATTTTTCTCAAATTACTTAAAAAACAAAGCAATAAGAGAATATAGATCTTGCTGAGATGTTTGTTTACAGATATATTATTCATACAACAGAGAAAACGGAACAAAAACATATTGGCTTCAACGATAACCATCTATTTACTGTTTCTATCTATTGAACCATCAAAGGCTGTTTCAAGTATTTCAGAAATATACTTTCTTTTCTAATTTGCCTCAACTCACCTTCAAAAATTCATAGAATATTTTTACTTTTTAATCACCTTCAAGATAAAATAGACTTGTCACTGAGGAACTATGAAAAGATGTTTGAATGTTGGTTTCATTGTTGCAGATGGTGTTGTCGGATGAAATCCAGGGTCTTGTTGGAGTCATGGTTCAGGCGGCTGAAACTGTGACAGGGGTGATGAAAAAGATTATGCCTGTTGTCATACAACTGCAGAACTACCTGCGTTCCATCCAAGACCTCAACCTGGGGTCCAACAAAGACGTTTTACAAGTGAGTCATCTTTAATCCTTTTATATATTGGTTTTAAAACGAATGTGTTTGTGTGTTTAGTTAACCTATTGTTATAAAAAGGAAAAGAAAGGCTAATGTTTTGCTTTCTATTTCAGATGACAAGAGGGGCAAGGTCTAGTGACTCCACACGAGCATCGTTTGTGACCCTGTCTCGTGCTTTGTGCAGTAACGGTATCCTGGCTCTGTTTGGACTCTCAAAGATGCCAGATTTGTCAGAACCATCACTTTACAACGAGCAACGCAAGGAAGAGATGATCAAGAGATTCAAGATTCCCCGAGACTCCTGTATGTTGAGAGGGCTTTAGATTTAGTTGTGTTAGTCACATAACTCCTTTATGTCACTGTCTTATGTTTTTTTTTTTTTGTTCTATCAATACAAAAACTGTTTGGTACAATAACCCCGGATTTACACTACATGTGTCTCCGCTCCGCTGCACTGTGGTGCGCAGTTCGCAGCTGTTCATTCGTGCCCCAATTTATACACCCTCCGCTCCGCTCAGCTCCGGACCGGTCTGACAGACAGAAGAGGGAGGGTGTCGGGAGGGTGTGCAGGAAGGAGATTGCGCAATAAATCCACTGATAAAGTGGAAGTCAGAGCAAAGAACAATTAATTCTGTGAAAGACAAACTCCAAACACAGCTGAAAACAATGATATAAAGGCTTTTGATATCTATGGTTGAAACTATATCACTGTCGTCTTTTTGAAACTTCTGATTTCAAAATAAAATCCACGTGTATCGTGTGTACACATATGCTTCTTGCTACATGTTTCCATCTGCTTCACAAACAGAACAATACATTGTGACAGCATCTGTGTAGAAATATATCCATATATTGATTAATATAGCTGCAATTTCGACATTATTCCGACAAATTGTTCCACCTAATAGGGTCTTATTTTGTAAATGTGGATGTTGTGCTCGTTCCTTTTCCTGTTGGTGCGACGTAATCTTTAAAAATTGACTCGGGCGCAGCTCCAGCGTCCGGCAAACATAGGATCTGTTCTAATTTTGACGGATCGCCGTCTGCTCACCGCCGCCGTGCGCAGCCAGTGTAAACACTCTCAGTGATTATAATGGGTGCGTATTTGCTGCGGAGGTCGGACCGGAGCAGAGACGGAACRCATGTAGTGTAAATTGGGGGTTAGACTCTAGCTCTTGTGTGATGCAACTTTCCTCCTTTTAAAWATAGTATATTTGACACGTGAATGTACTTTCTTGTGCAGCTCCCTTCTGTATGAACATGTACCTGGACATGGTCAACACCACAGGAGGAGCCATCGCCTGGGCCTTCCTCAAACCAATGCTGATGGGACATATCCTTTACACACCGGATACACCTGTCACCAGGAACATCATGCAGAAGGTTCAAAACACATGCAATAAAAATGAACACATACCTCCTCTGCACTTTGCTCCATGATTGTACTTATATACACTTATTTAAGACTAAATGAACTTGTTGTTTTATTTTATTTATTTATTTTTGGCTTACTGATATTAATATGCAGGTTTGCTTAGAGGTTTTTAAATTATCTATTCATCTGCCAGCAGTTTGCAACTAAAGATCCACRTTACTCTTTGTATAGGCAAACCTGCTTTTCCTTGCTCTGTTTTAGCCAAAACGTCTCACATGTGGTTCAGTCGTTTCTTAACTCTTTCATAGTTTATCTTCTAATTTTTTTCAATGTTCACATTAGACTTATAAGGTCAAAGTCACTTTTTTGTCCTCACATACCCCACTGGCAGAAAGCACAGAGTTGTACAAGGTGTACAGGCATTTGTATGCACCGCATGTGACTGCGGTTCTATTTTCAGCAAGTCTGACTTTGTTTTCAGTTCAGTGCAGTCTTTAAAGATTCCAGCAGCCATGCACAAAAAAGATTGTGTGACTTTCATTTTTTTTTCCTCACACAAAACCGTATTCACACTTTTGTGTCCTTGTCGTGACTTTGCCCAGGCCAACGCCACTTTGCAGGAGTTTGCAGATCTGAAGAAACATTCCGAGGACTGGATCGAATCTTCGAGTTACATCATAAAGTCAGCCGAAATACTCAGCACCACTTTGCCAATGCTGCAGGTATGAAAACTCAGACCTGCTCTTCTTTATATCTGATTATGCCCCGCTGTCATCTGAAAATCTAGAGATAAACCTCGCAGTGGTTTTCGATGAGATTCGGCAGCTGAATCTTGATGATGCTCATAGTTTTCTCCCCTCTCTCTCTCTCTTTCTCTCTCCTCCTGCCAGAACTCCCTCAAAAACTCCTTTGTGAAGAATTTCATTGAGATGCAGACAAACATAAATGTCGACAGTATGAAGGAGACGTTTAACAGCTTCTGTGAGTAAATAAATGAGAGTCCTTTTGTTACCAGGTTTAAATGTATATTTACTCTCGCCTAATACTTCAAAAAAAATCTGTGATGTCAGAATATAGAACAGCTCTTTAGACTGTAACTACAAAACACATGGAACTGGCTATTTCTGTGGCTGTCTCTTTGTAAAAACATGCATGATTCATTTTTTTTCCACAATATTCAGCTTAAACATACAGATTTTTGAATGAGAAACATATTTTTCCCAAACCATGAATGACATGCAATTAAACATGATTTTTATCATTTTACCAATGAAACATTGCTAATATATATTTATGTATGCACGTTTTTCAACCCCAGCCAATGTGAATTCAAATTTCTATTAGATTAAATCATTTTCAGATGACATATCTTTGCATTAAGTAGGGTAATGTGGCCGCGGTGATTTGCATCTAATATTAGGATGTGCATAGTTAGAAAGCAGCACCATTATCTTTGGTAAAAATGTAAAAAGCCACAAAAAAGGTGAGTTTTAGTCAGGTGCAGCATGACTGAACCAGCTCAGCTACTGAGATGCACCCTCACCAAGTTATACCAGAAACACTTTTTATTTTATTATTTTTTTTGAATTGCTGAATAGATTTAAATCAGAGTAACTTTGCTTGGAATAGAGAAACTGGCCTGTGGCTGAGTGAGGAATGGAAGCAGAGACTTGCTATCATTATTGATATGATAGTCGGATCATTTCGGGGCAAAAAATTGCAAAAACACCTGCTGAAATGTTGTAGAAGATATGTTTTTTWAAACTTTTTTGTAGTGAATGAATAAAAAATCCATAGCATTTATAAATACCTTATCCCTTTGTATAAAACGTCTTCAACATGTGCGTTTAAGAGCTCAGGTTTTAAAAACTTTATCCTTGATTCTTTGTTGTACCTCTAAAACTTGAGAAAAATA